ATCCGTCTGCTTTGAAGGTCGGCCAGAGCGAGGGGCGTCTTGTACGTGCTCTGGGAGGATCTTTAAGAGGGAGAACGTTTGGCTCGAAACCAGCCTCAATAGCTCTACTATAGATACGATTGACCGTACGAGGATGAACACCAGTAAGTTCAGAGATCTGTGATGTAGACTTGCCAACAGAAGGTGACTTTAACGCCACAATTAAGGTGCGGGTGTAAGGATCAGTATTAGGAGACATTGTAACGATAGATACAGACAAATCGTACAGCTACTCAGCTCAAAGGTGGGAGTTGCGCCAAGAAGAGTTATGCCGAAGCGCCGAGATTAGCGTGGGACAAAACTTTTGTGAGGCACCTCCGTAAGCTAAAACAGACTACTCCTTATACGCCTCTTGTTACCGCTTCAGGTTTTCATCAAACGATCGTTGAGAATGGTAAACAGCCGTAAGACAATCTGAGCGCTAGAAACCCTTCAAAGCATGTTGACACCAGTCGCTTGGATGTACCTCCGTTGCTGGCGTGGCGGGAGCGCTGGATTCGGCACAACGACCCCTCAGATTTGTTAGCAGAGTGATTAATCAGGCCGTGACTAAAAGGGTCACTCAAAAACAAAAAGCTGAGGGCGCCAATATTTTGCAGATTGCGAGTTGTGGTAGCGATGCCTTTGCATCCCTGTGTCCAAATAGCGCGACAGGCACAAGCGTGGAAGCCTGCTGCGTGGCAAGTCAGAGAGGTCACGTGAATGCGCGCTCGGCGCTAGCGCGACGCGACATTTCTCGGTGCCCGTCCGCCACTCATCCTCCCCTCTTACACACTCGGCCTCACGCACCCGTATACCCTTATACTCTTTAAATCTCTACATCCAACTGAGCTGGCTGAGGCTGTTATTCTGCATACCCCCTCACCATGAGCACCGAAGAAGAGCAGTACGATGACAGCACGATGGGTGGTCCTGGTGCGCCCACTCCTGTGTCTGCGCTCGAGGTAGGCTTTTACTGATTGTAGGCATTGCATGAGCGATAACAATTACGAAGGGCGTTAATGGACTTACGGCACGTGACATCAAGTTGGTGGTGGAGGGAGGCTTCAATACAGTGGAATCCATTGCTTACACGTAGGTTTGCAGTACAAGATGTGACCCCGCCCCTGACACCAGCCAGACCCCGGCGAACACTTGAACAAATCAAAGGCATTTCAGAACAAAAGGCATCCAAACTACTGGCCGAGGGTATGTTGCCAAGCTCCCGCGCATACGGACAATTCCTAACATAGTCAGCCTCCAAGCTTGTACCGATGGGCTTTACTACCGCCACTGAGATGCATTCGCGCCGAAGTGAACTAATATCAATCACGACGGGATCGAAGCAGCTGGACACATTGCTTGCAGGAGGCATCGAGACAGGGTCCATTACAGAAATCTTTGGCGAGTTCCGAACTGGAAAGAGTCAGATCTGCCACACGCTCGCTGTCACCTGCCAGTTGCCTTTTGATATGGGTGGGGGAGAAGGCAAATGCCTCTACATTGACACCGAAGGCACTTTTCGACCGGTACGATGTTTGGCCGTGGCAAATCGATTTGGACTGTCGGGCGAGGAGGTTCTGGACAATGTTGCGTATGCGCGTGCATACAACTCGGACCACCAGTTGGAGCTCCTCAACCAAGCCGCCCAGATGATGACGGAAACACGCTTCTCATTGTTGATTGTTGACTCGGCCACAGCCCTGTATCGAACAGACTTTGCAGGGCGTGGCGAGCTTTCAGCGAGACAGACGCACTTGGCCAAGTTCATGCGTACGCTGCAACGGCTTGCGGACGAGTTTGGAATCGCTGTCATCATCACGAACCAGGTGGTTGCACAGGTCGATGGCGGGCCCAGCGCCATGTTCAACCCAGATCCCAAGAAGCCCATCGGAGGAAATATCATTGCGCATGCAAGTACAACGCGGCTGAGTCTAAGAAAGGGCAGAGGAGAGACGCGTGTGTGCAAAATCTACGACAGCCCGTGTTTGCCGGAGACGGATTGCCTGTTTGCCATCAACGAGGACGGGATTGGCGATCCCAAGGAAAAGGATTTGGAGGAGAGAAACGGCAAGTGAAGAGGGGACTCGCAGAGGCAAGGGCGATGGAGCGGCGGTTGTCTATCTTTCTTGGGTGAGGCGGTTTTCTTCCTCGATGACTTATGGAAATGCAATGCAATTATCTCCAGGCACTTGTATCCGGCATGTCCAGAACGCAGTGGAGCGAGGGGGATTACATAATCCATGGGCACCGGGCTCTTTGTTGCCCATGACAGGCACGGGCGTCAACCTATGCAAGTCGCCCGCAGGCAGCGAGGCCCGTGCGCCAGCTTTGCTCGTGGTCGCGCATTCCCATCGCGACTGCTGTTTTCGAAAGCTCCCCCTCCGCGCCGACGCCCCAACGCAAACCGCCCACGCTCCTTTGGCCCCGAATTCCTCGCCGCAGCAATCGCATCTCCTTCGCATGCGAGCAGAATGGTGCCTAACCGAGGCACGTGTCTCTACAAAGAGGCGCGACTGAACGTCGAGCCCGCCTTTCCTGGCTCAACCATCGCATTCGCCATCCCTGCATACTCTCCTTTTGGCGGGCGCCCCAGCACCAAGCGCACCGTCATTTCGGAGCAGTATGCTGACAAGGACGAAGATGCCTTCACCCGGCGCCATCTGGCGACAGATGGGTCCATGTGCTTTCGGCGCCATCATGGCTATCCGCGAAGCTTTCTATGGCGCGTCTTGGACCACCGAAAGATGCTGGAAATACAGGCCACAGATCTAGACCACGACCTTGCCGACAAGCTCGAAGCGAACCTCACTCTTCTTTTTCAGTTGCCCGCGCCGATTCGACCCTTCTGCGTCGCCTTTGCAGAGCCAACCGACCGCGATGCGCTGATCGTCTTCGCAATCACCACGGCCAACGAGCTCTACGCAATTACGCTACATCGCGACTTCTTCTCCACAGCCGCGGCTTCAGAGCAGGACCCAGAGACGTGGTGCAAGAGGTTCGAGCCAGCCCTCTTCAGCGGGCGCATACCCTATCGGCTTGTCGCTGAGAGTGCAGATGAGCTCCTAGTCACTCTCGACGACGGAGCCATCTGCCGCCTAGTGTGGGACAAGGCCAACAACGCTTGGGACGGATCGCGGTATCAACAAAACAACTGGTCAGTGCGTGGCTTGCTATCGTGGAAAGCGCAACCAACTGTCCGGTTCGAGAATGCAGACTTGGCCACATCGGCCGCCGCCGCCGTCGCTGTGTCGCCTGACCAGAAGCACATTCTTTCCGTATGCTTGGATCACTCGATAAGGGCATGGAACATTGCATCAGGCAAGCCGGGCGCCCACATCGATCTCTTGGGTGCAGATGACATGGCAGTGGAAAAGTCGCACACCTCATACTCTATCGGACCTGCGCAATCAATGCTCATGGAGGTAGTGGACGTAATTGGCGGAGTTGGAGGTGCGAGCTACCACGTGGTCACATACTCGCCAAAGCAACACCAGTTCAAATTTTGGGGGGTGAGGGATGCAGACGACACCGAGTTTGGCTTTTACGATGTTGCACAGGATTCGGACTTCATTCCACCCATCGACGAACTCATGAACACGACTGTTTGGACACTAGAAGAATTCCACGTCATTCCAGGGCCTACTGGATGGAGAGGCTCGGAAATATGGATCCGCGCAAGGTCTGGGCCGAGCAGCAAAGTGTATTCTCTCAAGTTTGATCTTACCGACCTTCCAGAGTCACGGACGCAAGCCTGGAAAAGTGACTGGGTCTGCGTGGATTCCGGGCCATTGACCGTCGAGGCTCTAAGGTCTCACCCTGCCAACCCGAGCGAGCGGGAAGAGGCCATTGACCAAGACGATCTGGGCTCCACGGAGCAGTGGCTGGACTTTTTATTCTACCCGGGAAGGTTCACCACCGCAACCCTGGAAACATCACTGTACATCTACAAGAGAGGGCTGGACCAAGCCCGATTGAGCCGATCATCCAGAGGCTCCCTCAAGGAGCGTATATACGCTGCCGTCACGGCACTTGCTGTCAATGGCAACCGCGCGCCCGACGAGCTCGAGGATGCAATGGCAATGCAATGGCAAGCGTACTATAGCCTAGTGAAGGACTTGCACAAGCGGAGGGGAGAGTCGCTATCGCTGGTGTACGACCGGGCAGCCGGCAGACCATGGCTTGTTTTGAGCGATTACATATCTGCAATACGGAGTTGCAGCGAGGCAGAAATCACCAAGCTAAATGCGGCCGTCATCTCTAGTCCGCGCACCCTAAGCAAAACACTCCGCAGAACCTTGGATACCTCCGAGTCACGGGACGTGGCACGGTTGCTTAATGCTGCAGCGTCCTTCAGACAGCGGCTGCCACCGTTTGTGCAGCACGAGGTCCAAAGACATTTGGAGATGGACATACTCCAAAGCCGCAACATCACCATCTTGGATCGCATGGAGTGGATCGAGGCCAACAGCGAACTCTCACAGCAGGTGTCTGATGAAGACGTGACGCTCCTTGTCGAAGAGCTCGGCATGGAAGTCAAGGATCTCGGCACCGAGACGTTTCTGAGGGCCATTAAAATCTTAGGCTACGAGGAGGACGGCAAGGCCCAGCCGAGGAAGCAGGTTGCACGGTACGGGTTGAGCGCATTGACGAGAGTGTCCCAAGAGACTCTAGAGGGCGACCGCGATGTCTTGCTCGATCTGCTTGTTCTGCTGTTGTTCATGTTCATTGAGCTAGAAGGCGAAACGCTCGAGGACTTTGATGCATCTGAAGTTTTTGCCGAGCTGATCCTTCGGTACAAGGACTGCATGGTAGTCTCGTGGCTGGCTGGCACGGTTTGGGCTCACCAAAGCGCGACGGGGCCAGCGTCAGAGAACACAAACCGCGCCCTGAGCGAGACATGGAAGACGGGCAAGAAGCTACCCATAACGCAAACGGTGCTTGAGGGAGCGTATGGCCATCGTACCTTTGAGGTACGGCTGCCGAAAGATTTAAAGGCGGATCTGCTTACCAAGTGGACTCGAGGGTGGCTGACGTCCATCTTTGAGGAACACGAGTATGAAAACGTCGTGGAGGATATCATGGGCATCCTGCTGGCACAAAGAGAGTATGATCTCGCCCTGGACTTTTCCAAGTTCCTCATTGAAGGGTACTGGGCATCTTATATGAGGGGCCGGCTGTACATTGCACTGGGCGACAATGCAACAGCATCGATGTGCTTCCAGAAGCCGGCATACACTTTGGGTAAGGGTCACATGGGATGATGGTATTGAAACAGGACTAACGCTAGCAGCTCTCGGCGCCATGTTTGATGTCGCAGAACAAGATACAATGGGGATTGTATCCGAGGTAGAGCGGAACTCGTTCTCTGAAGGCCTTGCCCATTACTACAACCACGTTGTCGGTCTGTTTGAAAGAGCCAAGGCGTACTCGTACGTCGCCGACTTTGCTAAGCTCGGACTCCGGTCCTTGGTGGGCCAGGAAGATGAAGAGCTGAAAACAGAACTGCTTCAACGGCTCTTCACTGCGTCGATACAGACGTCGAGGTTCCATGATGCATACACGGCCATGATTCGACATGGCGATGCTGCTTTGTAAGTTGATATATGATGGTTGCATGCTGATAGCTACTAATGCACAGTGTAGGAGAAACTCGGACCTGCAGACGCTCATTACCTCCATGGTCGCACAGTCACGCACCACGGAGCTGCTCCAGTTCCCATTTGTCGGACTGGCAGATTCTGTCGACAACGTGCTGGCGTCTCTCTGTCAGAAGACCTTGAACATGGCCTCTGGGCCTCCGTACCATCAGATTCTCTACTCTTTCCGCATCTCGCGCAACAACTTCCGCGGTGCCGCGTCAATCCTACACGAGCGGCTGCAGCGGCTCAAGACGACCTCGTCCAAGGTGCACGACCCGGCCGACGAATCTCTCGCACAGTGCTACCTGATGATGATCAACACACTGTCGTCGGTCAGCAAAGAAGACGCGTATATCCTAGCGGAGCAGCGGATCGAAGGAAGCGGGGGCCCGCCGCAGTGGGGCATTGGCCAGGGCAAGAAGCTGCTCAAGCGGCAGATCATCACGCTCGACACTCTGAGGAAGGAGTACCAGGCTGAGCTGGACCGGGTGGCGGCGATTGAGAGCGGCCAGTTTCCGTTTGTGGATGCGGGCGACGACATGGACATCTTGTAGAGGGCGCGTGGGGGTTTGGCAAGTTTCAGCGCGGCGTTCAAAGGACGGTAATGCGAAGGTATGGCGGGGTTGATAGCACCGCAGAGGGCTGGTTCTGCAGGAGCACATTGGCGCGGCGATGGTAGTCAGCAGCATACGAGTGAAATGATTGTGTTGCGTGCGGACTGGGCTGCGTTGCATTTGCCGTCTGTGGTCATGGCTTGGCGCCAGGCGAGTGTCGGCGACGCGGGGGGGAGGTGAACGCCAAAGTCGCGCGCTACGTAGTGAGTGGCTTACGTAAGCACTCTGCGGGGCGGCGCGATGCATTGCGGCGCGACTGCGCAACGCCTCGTCTGCTCGGTTGCTCACAGCGCCGCTTGACCACGCAGCTGTCGCCATGGTGGGAAGGCCCCTTGCCACGACGCGTGCACGCTCACTAACCGCCGCACCCAGAACTCCAAGTCGCTTCGACGTCTCGCCGCCGACCACGGCTCGCTGCACACGGCCGGCCTGCCTCCCAATTATCTCTTCGCCCCGGGCTCAGACGGCCCCGAAGACCTAACGTCGCTCGACATCCTCCTCGCCGGCCCCGTCGGCACGCCCTACGCAGGCGGCGTGTGGCGGCTCCATCTCGACATCCCCCCCACGTACCCTACCGCGCCGCCCACAGCACAGTTCCGCACCCGGCTATGGCACCCCAACATCGACGAGGCGACCGGCGCCGTGTGTGTCGAGACGCTGAAGCGTGACTGGACCAGCACACTGAAACTCCGAGACGTGCTGGTGACGATATCGTGTCTCCTGATCCAGCCGAACCCAGCGAGCGCGCTCAACGAGGCGGCCGGGAAGCTGGCCGTCGAGGACTGGGACGGATACTGCAGGCGAGCCCAGCTCATGACGGAGATTCATGCAGCCATACCAAGCAGTCTCGCCAAGGACGTCCGAGAGGCCCAGATGCGAGGCGAAGAGCCGACAACTGAGCCCGAGCAACCCGTAGCCAGACCGCGCTCCAAGGCCAAGGTACAGCGCCAGCCATCCGAGGACGAGGAAAACAGGCGGCGTCGAGGCATGACGCAGGATGCAGACAGCGATCCGGAGAGCGACTGGATACCAGGACCCGTCGGGACGACCAAGACTGCTGCTCGGCAAGAAAGCAACATTTTCGGCATCAAAGGGCTTGACGACGCAATGCAACTCGACACACCACCACGACGCATCTTCGCCACAGAAACAAAGTCTGCCGGCCCACTGGAATTGCAACGTGTCGACGACTCGGACCCGTTTACCGCTGGACCTTCGAGACACAGCAAGGCACAAGCAGCAACCCCGTTTGACCTACGCGTTCCCCCGGTCCCCACGACTGCATCAACAGAGACACGCGGTTTGCGTGCAACCTCTGCCTTGAGCATCCAGCACACTACCCACAGCCACCCCTTGGTCACCGAGTTCTCCTTCTCCTGGGACCAATCAAACGCCTTGTACAATCCAGGATTGGCGCACGACGCAGCAAACCACGGTGCAAGCAAAGCAGATGATGTCAAGAAACGTCTTACGAGCGTTGAGTTTGAGACAAAGCGCAAGTGGGAAATGAAGAGGCTCCGGAGGGCAGGCTCCGATATTCGAAGGTATAATCGGGGTGACTTTGGCCCTCGTATGGGTGTAGGAAGGCTCTAAGTGGCGGTGGTGTTGGTGGTGATGCCCGACCCCAGAGTGACAACCATGAGGGCAGTCCAAAGACGACAGTCATCCCTTTTTTTTTTCTTCCCCTTCGTTATGCATAGCGATTGACCATGGCATTTTCGGCTTGGTCTCTTGAAGGAATTGACTGCATCGTGCGCACTCCGAGTCCTCATGATATCAATGATTGCAATCTAGTTGACACTTCTAATGTGGCGCTTGTATAGGTTTGGGCGAGTGAGCCAGTGTACATGCAGCAAGGCTTGCGTAGAAGATGGAAGAAATCAGTCATAAGCCTAATCATTGCGAACTTGGAAATCACCAGGTCCGTTGGAATGTAAGGGCAGTGACCTAGAAATAATTCAACGGTGTGAAGTAGCTCGACTAGTGAGATTTCGCAGCAAACGACATGAGCTACAAGAAGCATGATATTGGTACATGCATTTATCCAAGAGAGAATGCACCGTAATCCCAGCGCTGCAACGTTCCAAAAACATTGTATAGCCAAGCCCCGTTGAAGGAAGTGTGCATGCATTGCATCTCGTCTTTTCGCTACACAAATACAGGAAAATCCAAAGTTAGCCAACCCATTGTTGAACCTAAAAGCCGAAAATGCTTATTGCGGTGGCTTCAATGTACCATTGGTACCACTAACACTGTAGGTTCCATTGACACTGTTGGTTCCGTGAAAACCATTAGTTTTGGTGTCATTTTCCAAGGCAGCACTGGCTTCCTTGATAGAAGGCACCGATCCTGCAGGTACAGCGAGCAATGTGCCATTACCAGCACCGTTGGCGTTGTCTTGATTGGGATCCTGTAGTCCCTGACGGACCTTGAGGACGCTGTCAACAATAACGGCATCGATGCCTTCATTTCTTTGCAGCTGTCAAACCGTCAGCATATGTAGAGCTAATGAGTGCACAGGTCATGGTTTGGGTGCTTACCAAAACATTCTTGGGGTCGTTGTTTAGTATTCCGTAACTCACACACACAAGACCACTTTCTTTTACCACCTTGACTAATCTAGGGCACATGACGAGTGGCGTAGCTGCACTGACAACTCCAAGCAGGTTCCAACGACTAGCAAAGCGGATAGCTTCTTGCAGACTCGCGGCTCGCACATCCCCCACAGGTGAAGTTCCAGCGTCTGTAAGGAATAAAACAGGGATCGAAGGCTGCTTAAAGGACAACATCAAGCAGATGTCCGGGTTGAAGGACGAGAAGATGATGTTGCGCTGGCCCATCTTATCATAGACCATTTCTAGGATTGTGTCGACAAAAGAATTCAGCTCTACGGCATACTGGTCCATTTCCTCTTCTTCAGACTCGTGAAGCATGGGGTACTTCATTTCAACGTTGAAGCCGACCGACTCTGGAAGTTCATCAAACATACGCTCCAGAGTCGTGAACGACGATTGGATAGAATAGCCACGGCTGTTCCCTTTGAATCCCTTCTTCTTGAAATCACGGGTATGCTTCATTCGCTCTGTAAGCTCCTCGGCGCGATCAACATGGATATTACGCTGCTTAGAGTTGTCGACAGAGTAAGACCGTGGTCTTCGCGTGCTAGGCCGGTCGTCCTCGGAGCCGTTGCCGTTAGCAACTCTGTCCGGGGACCCCGTACGAGCGTATCGAGGGTTGGAACCTTCGCCAATGTGAAGAAATTGGTCAAGGGTAAGGGTATGAACAGGCGCATCTATTCCGGTCTCACTGACAAGAAAATCGTGATAGATGACTGGTACGTGGTCCTTGGTCAGTTGAACATCGAATTCGACATACTCAGCGCCCAAGTTGGCAGCTGAGATGAAGGATTGTATTGTGTTCTCGCCGAGCTGCAACGACGTGCGAGATGCTGTGTTCTTTCCAAGACCACGATGGCCGATGACCATGGTTGTTGCAGCCATCTTTTTCCAGTACGTATGTTGCTCCGTGACTGACATGTTTGGATGGTGGAAGGGCGTGATGATGAGGAAATTGAAATTGACAGTTCCAATAACGTCCAGTGTCGAGGCTGCCACGATGGGTACCTTCATGTCGCCCTGAAGTGGAATTCGCTTTGAACCAACACTGGTCTTAATAGTGGATAGCAACGCAACAGCTCGTCCCATTGAGCGTTCGTGTGATCCCGAGTATGTTGGAACAATATCAAACAAGAGCTTGACTTTGGTGATGTCGCTCGTCATGAACGTGATGGGCTCGGTGGCGATGTTGTCTTGAATGGGCAGGTCAATTACAGTGGGCTCTCCTTTGGCCCCCGCTGCTTGTACCACCACAGACAGAGCAGTATCCAATTGTGTGGCATGCGCGTCGGCGAGCGGAATGTCGTCAAGCTTGACCGCTGGCGTTTCTTTTCGCAGATCCATCGAGCCTAGGCTGACCAGGACCATTGTTTCGTTGGTCAGATAGCGGTGACCAAATGTCTTGACAGGCTCAGGTGTCTTCTGGACAGGGCTGTTTGTGTCACGATTCAAGTTCTTGGACCGCCTCTCATCAAGAGAACTTTGCGGAGGGGATCCAGATCGAACCACTCGTGCATCCGTGGGCGCGACACGGGGCGACTCTGTCGTGGGGGCCAGTTCACACAATCTTTCGGCAATTTGAACATGGCCGCGAAGTGCTGCATGCTCTTTCGCTGTCCAGCCGGAGTTGTCACATCTCTGCAAGTCGGCTCCTGCAGCGGCCAGAATCTCGACAATTGAGAGGTGATCATCGACGCACGCAATAAAGAGCGGAGTCCAAGCAAACGTCTTCTCGGGCACGTCTACCTCAGCTTTGTTTGTGCTAGAGCCCTCCAGTAGAACCTTGGCACACTGATCGTAACCGTAGCGTGCGGCCATGTGGAGGGCAGTCTCGCCGCCATCGTCCTGATAGTTTACATCAACGCCAGCGTCGACCAGGAGTTTAACAATGTCAACAAAGTTTGATCGAGTGGCTAGAGCCAGCGCGGCGCCTGAGCGTGGGCTGGATTTTCTGGATGCAAGTCTTTGCTCATTGGCACCGCGCCAATTCTCTGCATCCAAGAGAGCTTTCGTAGTGAGTGGGTGTCCGCCCATGACACTTAGATGCAGAGGTGCATTACCCTCGGCATCCTGCCAGTAAGAAGAGTCTATCCCTTGTGCAACATCGAACTGACCCCAATCCTGCATGTGCTTTATGACAACCTGGCAGATGATGACGAAGCCATACTGTGCCGCATAGTGAAGGGGAAGCCTACCGTAGGCATCACGAGATTGGAGCGCATTACGTTGCTCTGAACGCAGCTCGTCGAGTAGATAGATGAGCAGACGCACTGACTCATCATTCTCACTCAGGAGCTGTGTTGACTCTTCCTCAGTAGTCGTGCAGGGACGGGGTTGGCGGTTGGGGTCAGTGGCGGGCACTATGAAGTTCCGTGCTTCGCCCGAGCTCGGGAGGAGAGTTCCATCGGCGCCAAACGTCTCACCGCTTTTTGAACGGCCAATGTTGATGACCAGACGGTGGATACAGTTTCGCTTGTTGATGTCGTCCTCTTCGTCTAGCGAGATGATGTCTTGCAACAATCTCTTGATGCATTGCTTGGATCGACACGAAATCGAGCGCTGTAGGAAGTTGAGCAGAATCTGCTGCATTGATGAGCTGCTGATGCCGTTGCTGGCGGCAGCCTCTTTGATTTGCAAATCAAGATCATCGGCTTTGTCGTTGCGAATAGCCAAATCTACCGCGTCGAGAAGGCTAGATGGGAGATGTAGCGAGCGGCCGGGAACTCTGCCCAGAGAACCGGCGGAATGGGTCGAGCCTGTGTCGTCGAACGTCTTGATATCGCCTAGCCCCGACAGCCACTCGTTGACAACCTTCATGTCCTGGTTGAGGGGCAGGTTGTGGGCAAAGGGCTTGGGGTTGACCTTGGATGCTAGATAGGGCTCTTGCAGGCATGCAGTCTTAATCTTCTTATCGAGCTTCTTTGTGATTTTGATGAAGCCTCTTCGGTTGACTTCTCCGTACCATTGCAGCTTGCGCATGGAACCACGCAGCTCAAGCAAGGCGCCCATGAGGTCCTGGGCCTCATCTTTGTCGATGCCGTCGGGGAGCTGAGCAGCCCGTCCGTAGCGGCCGTGGAGAAGTCTCAGTCGGCGGGAAAACTCGGCATACTTGCGGTTGTAAAAGTTGTCGACGTCTTCGAGGTTGCGGTCAAGAGAAAAGAAGAATTCTGCGGGCTGCAGTCAGCAACGTGGTGTTTGGGAATCGGCATGGGCCGCTCAAGAGATTTGGTTTCGACTGACCTGCGAGATCTGGATCTGAGCCGTGCTTGGAGGCTTCGGCGGCGTTTTTGATCAGCTTCTTGAGGCCCTTGTAGTTGATGTACGAGGAAGCCCATTCGGGCACTTGGTTCCGGGGCAGATTATGGCCGAACTTCATCTTGGCAGGCCAGCCGTGGTGGGTAGCTTTGCGCACAACAGGGAGCGCAAATGGGACAGAGATATAGTTGCAGCAATTGACCGATTGAGGCCGGGCAGCAGGCAAAGCGACCAGCGCAGTCAAGGCGTTACTGTTGGCTAGTTTAGGGTGTGCTCCAGGCGTCCATTCTCATTGGACGAGACGGAGCTCGATCAAAGCGCGCCTGCAGCATGGTTAAACGGACTGTCAAATGGAGGGAGAGCCGCAGCTGGAGGGCAAGGGGAAGTACACTGTAGCGGCGGGCTCGCTGGTCAGTGTGATTTGGTCGTGCAGGTGGAGGTGGTGAGGAGGTGTTGAGGAGGAGATGGGGAGGAGGGTGAGGATGATAAAGAAGATGAAGAAGCAGAAGCAGAAGCAGGGCGGTTGAGTCGCGGTGGTGGTGGTGGTGGGCGGGAGCAGGTGGTCGGTGCGTCGTTCAGGGTCTCGGATGACGTGTGATGGTGGAGAGTCGCGATGGGGGTGGTGTTGGTTGGCGTGTGGCCGTCGACGCCCGTGGGGCCGTGGCATTTATATATGGATGCACAGGCGGCGACGGCGGGCGTCAGAGGGTGAGAGGGAGAGGGAGGATGCTGGTGGTGGTGGTGGTGGTGGTGGTGCAGGCCCGCCTGTGGCACTTGTCGCATCATGTTGCATCAGTGCGCCAGCACCAGAGCAGCAGTGTGAGTGCATCGGTGCAGCATCCCTTGCAAGCTGCGTCGGCGGATCGCGGCGGTGTGGGTGTGTGGGTGGGTGTGTATGTAAATAGTATGCGGGATTGTCTGTTGCTGGCTCGTCAAGGGCATGTTAGGCGACAGGCGGCTGGGCCAGGGCGGTGGGGCAGCGAGTCGTAGGGTGCTGTATTACATGCACAGCATGTATGTGTATGTGTAGTGTATGTGTAGGAGGCTGGCCAGGGAGGCCTTGGGTAGCGGGATGCATGTCATCCGTCGTGCGTGCGGCGCGCCTGGCCTGGCCTGTCTGTCCGGCCTGTCCGGCCTGTCTGGCTGGCGGGCTGGCGGGCTGGCGGGCTGGCCTGCACCGCACTAGCTCCAAGTACTTAGTCGGGGTGGTGGGCGCGACGGGTTCAATTCATGGGCCGCGCTTGCTTTTCTGCGCTTTGTGGCTTGGTGCTTTTTTATGCTTTTCTTTTTGGGCCCAGTCTTTCCCCGCAATAAGCCCGCAGCACCACCACCACCACCACCCACACCCACACTCACACCTAATGTACACTCGTGCTCGCACTCACACTCATGCACATGCAGCCGGACCCTTTTCCGTGCCCGTTTCTGCAGCCATCCCCGGCCTGCCAGCACGACTAAGACGGCTCCAAAGAGACCCTGCGCCCGTTTGCTCCCCTTCTCGCCCACCGCCCACGCCGCCGTCACGAGAAGAAAAAAGCGTTGCCCTCGGCGTCCTTGCGCTGCAGCGTCGACAGATCCTTGTCCGGCGCATACTCTGTCCACGCGCTCGCCGGGAAAATGTGCTTGTTGCGTTCGTACCACCGCCGGTCCACCACCTTGGTCATGGCCGCCTCGTCCCCAAACCCCTCGAGCTCCCAGTTGCCCAGCCCCGCCTCTCTGCTCTTCTTCTTGAGCGGCTGCGCCAGCGGGTCGTACGTCGCCGCATCCACGTCTGCCGCTGCCGCTGCCTCGCCCTCGCCCTCGCCCTCGCCCGTCCGTGGCGTTGCCTTGGTCGGCTGTGCCGAGTAGTCGAAGATGGGGCCGTCGAGACCCGCAACTCTGTTGAACAAAAAGTGGTAGATGTCGTAATGCTGCATCCCGTGTCAGCGACCGTAGCCCACTTCAACACACACGCCTGTCTGCGCACAACTCACATGCGGTATAATCACCTCCCCTCTGACGAGCATCAGGTCGTCTACACTGACTCTGGCCCAGTCCCTCCGACTCTTATCGCCCCCCACCCCCAGCTCTGCCCCCACCTTTCTGGCCTTGTCCAAGAACAGCCATATCTGCTCCCCCTTCTTCAGCCTGCACCGTCCCCCGGGGATGTTGGTGCCGTCGTAAAACACAAACGGTATGACAACCTCGGTCGCCTTGACTGCGTCGCGCATGGCCACAAAGTCCTGGCGTGCCAGCTCCGCCTGCTGTGCCTCGCGCTGCAGAGCCGTCTTGGTCATGACACGGGGCTTCAGCCCAATGCTCGCGTTTGCACCCAGCTTCTTCTTCTTCTTCATTTTGCTCTTGTCCTTGTTGTTGTTGTTGTTGTTGTTGTTCACCACCATGCTCTCTGCTTCGGCCCTCGCCCCAGTCGAGTCCGCGGGCGTGCCTTCGCGCGTCTCAAGCGCCTTGCACGCCGACGAGTCGGTGTCGTCCGCTTCTTCGTCCGTGCCAAACGACAGCTTGCCTTTGCCCGTCACCTTGCGCTTCTTCTTCTTGAAGACTGGCTTTGGTGTTGATGCCCTGTACTTTGCCAATTAGCATGCACCACGAAGCAACGCCCCACCGTCCTTACCCGTCCAATCCAGTGCTGGCGTCTGAGTCCAGCCCCGTGTCGCCTCGCTCTTTTCTGTCCAACGCCTCGGCGCGTCGCTTGCGGTAGTCATGGAGATTGACCAGCCCGACGGTTTGCGCCTTGAGCAGGTCCTCTGCCGTGGCAGCCTGCGACGTGAAGCGCGCGTTGCCGGAGCCATCGCTATGCCCGCCCGAGCTCGCCGTGAATCTGTCCATGACTGTAGAGAAGACGTTGGGCCTGAGAGTCGCTGGGAGAAGTGTGTAGCGCCGGCCAGAAAGTTGACGGCGCCCGCCCAGAACAGCAAGTCCGCCAGCGCTAGCGCCCCACAAGCCCGTGATCGCGCGTATCCCGCGCGCCCCTCCCAACACGACTGACTTGACGCGACTTTTCCACCAGCACCGCCCACATTTGCTGCGGGACCCGAGATATGACCCAGCATGGCGCGCATCGTGCAGGACTCAGACGACGAGCTGGAAGATGACCTCGAGGCCGACCTGCCACCCCCAAAACGACCTGACGCGTCCGGTCAGTGGCTCCCCCTTGGTGGGCCCGCTGGTAGAATTGCCCTATCCATCCACTCGCCCTCCGCGACAAGGCTAACTATCGCTTTAGATGCAATCAAGGGACCAAGCGAGCAAGCACGGCCTGCTCACGCACAGCTTCAGCCCAGCCAAGATGAACCTCAGTCCTCGGTCTCCTTGCCTGAACTTCCAAACAAAACAAGGAAAACTGACACCCACCCGAGCCCTGCCCAATTCCGGCTCAGTCTTTCACCCAAAAAGAAGAGCCCTCTTATCTATAGCAAGGACACGCACCCCCCTGGAGCAACCTGGACCTTGGAAGGCACCATGCGTGATGACTATGCCCGCCACGAACCAGGCATGTTTGCTGAGCCCTCCAGTACCATCCCCAACGCCACCATGACCCAACAACGTGTCTTGGACGTTGTCAATGCTCCAGTCATGCTGGGGCAAGAGCCCGAGACAGGAGGCCCTTACTATCTGCCTCCGCCTGAAGCGTCAGTGCCCTGGTCAGATCTAATGAGGTTCACGCCTGCAGAAGCAACTGAGCAGACGGAATCATCGGGTCGTGAGCCACCCCCTGACATGCCATTCACTGCGCCTCTTGCAACTCCCCAGAAAGACCCAGGGCTTTCCTCATCGCAAGGGGGCAGGCGTACATCCTCTCTTCATCCAAAGGAAAGTCGATTGACGAACAAGCCTTCTCCCGTCGAGATCTACCACGGCGAACGTGAACCGGTGCCCCCTAGGGCAGGTCTCCAGCCAATCACCGAGATACCAATAGCTGCACGGCCCGAATCTCAAAGCAGCGAACAAGTGGGGGCGAAGATAACGTCTCGTCACCAAAACAGCCAATTGCCATCTAGTTCTGATGACGAACTCATTGTGGTTGGGCTGCCAGAGGAACGGTACAAGCCACGGCCTAGTCGTTCAAGATCGCTCAAGATCGACATGGAGCAGTCAATCGACTACTCTGTTCGACCTGAGAAAGCTAAGAGGATCAGCAAACGTCGGAGAGCGACAGCCGACATGGGCCCCGCAAATACGTTTACGACACCGGAAAAAGTTCGACAGATCTGCGATATGGGCTTCACGCCTGCAACTACTGCGGGGGCTTTGAAAAGGAATTGCGGTGACGTCATTCAGACCATCGATTGGCTAGTCGCTAACAATGTCGGCCATGACGAGCTGGCGCCGCAAAGTCCGCCAACAACGAAGCCTAAACCCAGAAAAGCAGACGAGCCTCACGCAATGCATGTGGAGACTGTACAGGACATAATGCGCAATCTGAATGAGTACCGCCGAGACGACGGCGAGACGGGCCAAGGTGCTCCGCCAGCAATGCCGGATACGGACAATGCTACAATGCAGGATGGATTTGCAAACATTGCCGCAACAACCTCAAATGCAGAAACAACTCCAAACACGAGTCCTGTAAAAGTACAGGTGGTGATCCCTAAGAAATCACCTAACGCTTCCACGACACAAGCAGAAGAAGATATACACATGCTTAGCAACAAAGCAAAACGCAGGAAAACTACGTTGGATACCTCTGAAGCAGAAGCAGTTACAACACCAGTCAATGTTACCGAGGTGGTCACCGAGAAGAAGAAGGGTCGAGGTCGCCCAAAGAAAACTGCCAGTCCTGCCCCGACTGTCAAACACGTCAAAATCTCCGAACAGGATACCAAAGAAGAGAAGCCCAGTGGATGCTTGCAAAGCGTCGAGCCGAACTCGGCCACAGACCGTATAGATGGCAACTCTGGAACCTCGGCTAAGAAAGCAGAATCTCTCGAACCGATGGACTCTGAGAGTGCAGCCCACTTCAAACCTCTGGCGAAGCCTTGTGCAACGGCAGGATCAGATACCCCAGAAAGATCGACAAAACCCGCAACCGCTTCGCCGATGAACAAAAACAAAGTGCAGTACCGTGTGGGACTAAGCAAACGAGCGAGGATTGCTCCGTTGCTACGCACCTTGAAGAAATGACGGGGCCAAGCAGGTGTTCCGCACTGGGAGCAGCATGCAATTCACGATAGTACCATGTAACGAAAACCAAATGATACCCCCTTTTATTTTGCGCTGCAGGATGTGTTCAGCAGATACATATCGTGCTCGCATTCACATGCGTCTAGTACAGACGTGGTATTAGTGGGATACTACCAACCATGGACACAAGCACAAGAACCAAAACATATTGGGCGGGTGCAGCTCTCCAAGCGTGACCATGTGGGGCGTGGAGTGGACGCATCTCGTATTCTGCCAGATACTGCATCATGAGTAGCTTGTTTGGTGTTGCTGAAACGCAATAGTGATGGCACATGGGCCCCTGACTTGGACGTCAACCACTAAGTGGGTCACATCCTTCACCATCTCGGCCGCCGCGTACGAAACACACATGGCTCAGCCAGCCTTTGTTTATTGCCAAGAACGGGAATATGGACTTTTACGGGCGGAAGCTAGCGCTCACGCAGACTTGGCAATGGTGCGCAAGGCTTGTAGGAGCCGCCCAGCCTCGAATCCCATCCACAGCTGTTCGGACGCTATTGTTGGATTCGCCTTCTTTTTACAAGCGCCCAAATACACCCGGGACAGCTATGTAACTTTTGCAACAGTTGACGGGATTTCACACCAGAACAAGACGCGCCTCTAGCATTCCGAGCCTACCAACGTCCTCGCGAACCGTAGCATTAGAGCACTGCGCCGGAACGCCCGAGCTTGAAACGAACACGACTGCTTGATGCTACGCGAGGCGCCGTCCACGCCACATGAGGCCATGGCAGTTGAAGGCTAGACGCTGTTGTGATGCCAAGCCTTCCGCTAGACGCGTGTTGAGCCTAGGTCGTCTGCTATGTTCCCTCTTCCGCATCTCTGCGACACGACCTGGCCACGCACACGCATCGCTATCCATATTTTTAGCTTTCTGTCGACTCTCCATACGACTTGGCCATGCAAGGTACACGCTCATGTTTTTTGCTTCTGAACACGCCGGAATGGACACGTCAAAGTGTCTTGGAGCGGCTACGACAGCCTTCAGGCATACGAAGACAGGTACTCGGCTCGGTGCTGGCAATCATCCCAAAGAAGCATGGAATGCTATGAGGTGGGATTTCCTCCTGTCCAAGCGGCCTACACTAGCCGCCATGTCCTTATTCCCAGCACCATGCCATCTCCACCGTCGGCTCGCACCCTGCAACAGTCCCCTATAGTGAGCGGTCTTGGTCTTGGCCCTCGACCATGGGCCGCTCCCTACAGGTGCGTTACCAATCGCCCTGGGGCAACTCATGCGAAATCAAATGGTATAAGTGTAATCATCTACCCTCTCCCTTGGCTACGTTAGTCGTCTTGCCCGTGCCTGCACGCAAAGCGACCGTCACTCGTTTGTCACTATCCTTTGATCAATAATCGGCTTTTGTCGCCTCACTCGCTCATCCCCCCTTCTCTATTCTTATCCAAACGAATTCAGTATTAGCTTTACAGCGCCGCATTGGCCAAGATGCGTTTCTCACAAATTGCCGCCGCCTCCGTGGTGGCGCCGCTTGCTGCTGCTCACGGAGCAGGCATGGAGGGCATGCCCAAGATTTTTGGCATGCCAAAGCAACTGAGGGCCAGCAATCCTTTTGCCGGGTTCCAGGCTCGCCATGCTGCTCAGCCTGCCCGTGCCGTCGGACCCCGTCAGGAAGCTAGCCGCTGTGGTCCTCAGAATGGCAATCAGGTTTGCGCCGACAACGAGTGCTGTTCGTCAGCTGGATACTGTGGGACTACCAAGGAGCATTGCCAGGCGCCCGACTGTCTCTTCAACTTTGGACCCGCATGCGATGCCAACAAGACTCCAGCGGGCGAAAGCACACGCAACGTCGCTCGCCCTCAGCTCGGAAAGATTGCCTACGGTGGTGGGGGCATCTACGTGTGCAACAACCCCGGGACTGTGGCCATTACATATGACGATGGGCCATATATCTACACCGAGGGCGTCATGAAGCAGTTCGAGGCAAGGGGAGGCCGTGCGACTTTCTTCATTACCGGAAACAACATTGGAAAGGGATCCATTGACGAGAACTGGGCTGGTGTCATCAAGAAGATGTACGACAACGGGCACCAGGTTGCTTCACACACATGGAGTCACCAGGATCTCTCTGCCATCACCAAGGAGGAGGCGTATGACCAGATGGTCAAGAACGAAATGGCTCTTCGCAATATCTTGGGCCGCTTCCCCACATACATGCGCCCGCCTTATTCTTCATGCGATGCCGATTGCCAGGAGGTCATGGCGGATCTTGGTTATGTCGTGTCGTACTTTGACTTGGACACTGATGGTGAGTGATGGTGGCACTGCTAGGCCATGTCGCTTTCAGCTTTCTAACCATTTACAGACTACAACAACCTTACACCCGAGAAGATTCAGATCGCCAAGGATAACTTCAAGGAGGGCATTGATACGCGCAACAGCGGGGACCCATACGATGGTGACAGGCTCGCTATTGGCCATGACATCCACCAGCTGACTGCGGAGAACCTTACTGCCTACATGCTAGACTACGTCTACGATCAGGGTCTCAAGGCTGTCACCATGGGCGAGTGTCTCCAGGACCCCAAGGAGAACTGGTACCGCGACTCCACGCCTGCTCCTCCCAGCACGTCATCAACGCGTACTGCTTCGTCGTCGATGGCGACTCCGACTCCGACTGGGCCTACCTCGAAAGATGGATCCTGCGGTGCTACTGGCTCTAACCAGTCTTGCGTTGGCTTTGTTGGTGGAGATGGCCTCCTCGGCGAGTGCTGCTCGCAATACGGCTGGTGCGGACGGACATCTGATCACTGCCAGACTGGCTGCCAGGCCGGCTTTGGAAAGTGCGGCGCGCAGCCCAGCGCCTCTCCATCTGCATCTGCATCTGCACTTGCATCTCCATCAGCATCAGCGTCTTCATCCACACGTGCAACCATCTCTGGCAGCGTCACGGGCCCTGTGTCTACTCCTACTGGCCCTGCCACGACGGATGGATCGTGCGGTGCTGTCAACAATGGCATGACGTGCATGGGCTTTGTTGGCCCGGCTGGGCTCAGCGAGTGCTGCTCTTTGTATGGATACTGTGGAAATACTGATGCCTACTGCTCTACGGGCTGCCAGGCTGGGTTCGGAAAGTGTGGCAAGCAGGAGATTGGGTCGAGCAGTGTGGTTAGCAGTGCTTCGTCGGCCGGCGTAGTGTCCAGTGTCAGCAAGGATGCTGTCTCGCCATCCTCTCAGGCTCCTACTGCCTCTGTATCTGCCTCAGCATCTACTTCTAGCTTGGTCACTGCATCGGCCTCAGCTTCTGACGTGGTATCTGTACCGGCTTCCGAGTCGGTTTCCGCATCCGCTTCAGCCTCTGCCTCAGTTTCTAGCCAGGCATCTGCATCTGCATCTGCGTCTACGTCGAAGGCTAATGGAGACGACTCGGTCTCGGCTTCGGCAAGTGGGGCTTCTGGGACAGTGTCATTGACTGTGTCGGCGTCCAAAGACAGCTACCCCAGCGAATCTGTTTCGGGCGGCTCTTCCGGATCCGCATCCATGACACCGTCTCCCACACGGGCATCTTCGTCCTTCTCCACGGCCATCATGGGTGCCAGCTCCACGTCGCGCACGCCTCTCGCCACACCCACGCCTACCAAGCTGCCCGTGTCTCAGGACGGAAAGTGCGGTGGGCAAAACGGGGGACAGACTTGCGCGGGCTACAAGACAGGGTGGGGAATGCAGATAGAATGCTGTTGCAAGCAGAGCGGACGGTGCTCTATTGATCCGTGGGCGTGTACGGCCGGGTGTGACAAGAAGTATGGAAAGTGCTGGTTTTAGATGGGGTGGAGGCGGAGGAGGCGGAGGAGTGAATTGCGCGTCTTGTAGGCTTGGAGCCAATGGCGTCGCTGAGTCGCTTGTGGCAAGGCGTGATTTCAAGAGGCGACTGCAAGAGATAGTATGGTGTAGCCATGAGTCGAGCCGTGATGGTTTCCCTGGGGTAGCTATAATACACAAAGGCGCTACTTCTTGGGCGGGCGTACATGTATGGGGGACTAGCAGAGTGCCAAGGCGCGGCGCACGGGGCGCCCACACCAAGCCCAGCAAGCAATACATTACTCGTGATAGCGCCGTGTGCAGCAGCAATCCGCCCACATCCGCCCGGGCACCACGGTGCCATGTATCTACAAGCAGACTGTCCATGTCGTTAGCAGCAGCAGGCAAGCGGCCGAGTCGAGGCGTGCCGGCGATGCTACAAGTTTGTTTTGCACGGCAAGCAAGGCAGCCGAGGGCGCGAGCCCCAGGTTGCCGTGCCAAACACGCTCGTTTCACCACAGCCATTTACCCGCTTGGCACGCACGCTCGCACTCGGATGGATTGGCATCTATTTTCGGGGGCTGGAGCTGCATTGGCGTGTGTGTGGGTGGGGGGGAGAGAGCATGTGAGCACATACAGGATAAAGTACTTGGATACTTACTTATTATTATTGTTCCATTAGAGTCTAGTGAGCTCGAGGCTATGTAAGACTTTGGCCGAGGCCGTTCTAACTAGATTTATTTACAA